TCATTTCACTGCATTATTAATAGGACCACCAGATGTAAAGGGTTAATATATGTCCCACTGCCAGTAACCCCACTGAAAGTATGTTGGGTAGGCCTTTGCAAACCTCCATCTTCCGGGGGGCACGTCTATCCTCGTTTGTATTTGAAGGGAAGTCTCTGACCCACTCTCTGTTTGGAATTCTCAGGGGGCCAAGGGAGTTCCTGGCTTAGGCGGATTTAAAGGGCAGGTTGGATTGCCGGGGAAGATTGGTGTGGCTGGACCACCTGGATCTCAAGGACCACAGGGGGACCCAGGACCACAGGTAAGACATTCTGGGCAGATTGCATTAGATGCTCTGCAGAATTCACACAGCTCCGGCGACTGTCTAGAGGGGCGTGAGGTAGCGGGCTGAGTGCAGCCTGAAAGCCAAGGCCGGTCACTTGCAGCTTGCTTTTCAGGGGAGCTGAGCATCCATATACCCCACCGCTTCGACTTTTAAGAGTCTGTAACTGTAGGAGAAAGAGAGAGCCTGGAGCAGGGGGCCTGGTGCAAGATCTGAGGCCTGCACAAGAGGCTGTGGACCAAAGTCAGGCCATATATTAAAGCAGATGTTTACAAGTTCACTATATGACCTTTGCAAAAGCATTGCCAGTGTGGCTAAAACACAGCCACTCCTAGGAAGTGACAGATACTGGGTATGTGCAAGAACACACCCCAAAAGCTTAGTCCAGCGACATCCTGGCCAGTGCCAGATAAGAGGGTCTGCTAGAGGTAATGAATAGGTAGTGAAGTTGTGCCAGAGACACCTGGAGCATGATACAAGGGGAGGTAATAAGCAGATGTCATGAAATAAGTAAGATGGTCTGAGTTGTTTATCTCAGTCTATAAATATTGGGGTGTCTCCCCTTAACCCTTTGTGCGGCCTTGGGGACAGCAGAAATTCCCGCTGCTGACTGAGCCGTTCCTTGCCACTGGACACTCGTGTGTTAGCGTCCCTGTAACCTTGGAGCCAGGGCACTAGTGCTGTGTCATGAGGGCAATAAACCTGGCCGAGTGCCTTTGTCACCGAACCATGCCAGTGGTCGTTCTTTCTGGGTAGTATGATCAAGGTCTTCCAAACCAACTATCTGCTCAGGGCTGGGACAGCACACAGGCACCTAATTGACAACAATAAGCGACATAGCCAGCTCTAACCACGGCCTTCTCCACAGACAGCGTGGTTGGTACGTGGCAGATGACAAAGTTTGGCCCTCACCAATAGTCTCTGGGGCATATTGTAACCCAAGAGGCAAGATTTAAAATCGGTGGTGTGAGGGAAATAACCAGTTGAAGCAAAACTCTCCACAAAAAGCTCACACGTGTAAACCTGTTCAAGGATCCCCCCTGCGGGCTACTGACTCAGCAAGAGGAAGGACAGACCCATGGTTATAGTGCTAGCCTGGAATGTGGGAGACTTCCTGCTCTGCCACAGACTCACTGTGTGACCTTGGACAAGTCACTTAGCCTCTGTTCCCCATCTGTACAATGCGGGTATGGGCAGCCTTGCAGGGGTGTTGTGAGGATAAATACTGCCCGTCACTATGGCAACGGGGGGCCAGCTAGATACTGCTTGGAAACGGTACTTAAGCAAGCGGAAGGTTGCGAACTGTAGGTGGGCATGACAGACCCTGTGCCTGGTCCTCCAGTCCCATTGGGCTTCAGTGGACTTGCTACGCAGAGCCACCTGGTGAAAGCACGTTTAGAACAAAAGAAAGCCCTGAGGGGTGGCGTGGGCTAGAGGTGTTTCAAAGCTTGCTCAACATGGGAACGTGAACTCAGAGCAGTTCTTGTCTGCGGGCTTTGCTGCTGCTCTTGTTCTTTTAACTCTTCAAGGTGAGCAGGACGTGCCTCCGCAGAGATAAAGGACTAAGACCTCTAGCTGAAGGAGATCGGAGTTCTGATCCCGGCTCTGCCACCACCTTGTTCTGTGATCATGGACACAGATCATGGACAAGTCACTTAACCTCTCTGTGCATCAGTTCCCCATGTATAAAATGGGGATAACAACACGCCCGTTCTCCCATCCTTTTTCTGTCTATGTTGAAAAGTCTCCAGGGCACCTAAATAAGAAAGGAAAGCGTGGTAAATTTTAAGCTGCTAGCGCAGTGAATGTGCCCTGACAACCCTAGACATTTGGGGTATTTGGTGCCTATATTTCTGAAGCAGTTGGATGCTTTAAAGCTCTATTTGTGGGTCATCTTTAAGATGTGTCTTTGCACGCAAGACACGCTGGGCCCCTTTTGAAATATAACAAAAAGACTTGGAAATGAGACATGTTAATGCTATTGAGGAATGTGAATGTCCTGCCCCCAGATTTTATGATAATGAAGAGTGCATGCAAGCATAATACAGCAGAGGATACAGTAGATTAATGCTAATCAGCAACCCACGAGCATCATTTATTAAATAAGCAAGAAATCTGCCAATGAAACAGGACTAAAAATAAAAACATACCTCTCGACTGTGCTGCGGGGAAAGGCTGAGTTTCAGCCTTCAGCTAGGCGATAAAAGTAAATGAATGTCAAAAGAATTGAGAACACGAGAAATGCTTAGAAGAGGTAAATGTCTGAAAGGCCAACCATTTCCCATAAATTAATCTGTAAACAGGCATTTAAAAATCACTATCAATGAATAGGTGAGGGCTCATAGAATCCTAGAATCGTTGGACTGGAAGGGACCTTGAGAGGTCATCTAGTCCAGTCCCCTGTAGTGTGTCATGTTTCACACCAGAGGTGGCTGCCTATTGCACATCAATGGTGGTGTGACCGGATGCCCGGGATGGGCCACACTGAAAATGTCACACTCGGGGCAGATGGCATGAAATAGGAGAGACACTCCCCAGAGTTGGTGGTTTACTCTATACTTAGATTCACCAAACCAGTAACAAAAGAGCTTCTGCAGCACCACACCGATTAACCAGAAGCCAAACAAGGCACTCCAGTCCTTGGCTCCCATCCAGGCAACCCAATCTAATATAGCGAGAGGTTATTGAAAACCTATTTCACCAGATGTGAGGTTCTTTCTAATCCCAAAGGATAAGACACACATCCCCAGGTTAATACGAATCCCAGATCTTACCCAAATATCACGCTCCCAGTCAATCTTTAGTAAACTAACTAAAGATTTTAATAGTAAAAGAAAAGAAGCGGGTTATAAACGGTGAACAGATCATATACATACAAATGATTGCAAAGCCTTTCAGGTTTGTAGCAGGGATGGAATAGCTTGCGGGCTTGTAAGGTGTCTCTGGTAACTTCCAAAAGATTGGAAAGTCCTCGGTCGATAGTTCAAGATGCTCCATTTTTTGTAAATCCACAGTCCAGAGAATTAGAGCAGGAAAAGAGGCAAAATGGAGATATCTCAGGGGTCTTTTATATCCTCTGCCATGTGCATGGAAATTGACTATCCCAAACAAAGCCCACAGCCACTGTGTGTGTGGAAAATTACTGGCCCAAGATGGAGTCTAGGGTCACATGAGCATATCACACGTCCTTACAGGGTTTGTTGGATCATAGGGAAATAGTCATTGGCTCCTTGCTCTCTGAGGCATCTGCAGGAAGACCTACTGTGTGGGATGAGTTTCTTCAATGGTCATTGTGAGAGCTGAGTGTCCTTGATGGACCATCAATACATAGGTGTCTATCCCTGATGTACATCCATCTGGTGGGTGTCTCCCAGGAATACAGCACAGGTTTCCATAGCCAAAAGTCATAACGTCCACTATAAAGATGATACATGGATTTAACCAGGATAATCATACTTGATAAACTGTAACTTTTCCATTGACACCTTACATGATATACTTCATACAAGATTTATGGTTATAAATTATATAACAGGGATAATATCAATGGTATAAATAGTCCTATTTCATCACACAACATCACAGATGGGTGAATTGATTCTGTAAATACCTCCTGGAGGAAAGGTAAGTTGTGTCTGTGCTTCAGGAAAACAACACATTGGGGGAGGAGGGGGCAAAGACGCAATGTTTTTGTCTTTAACCATTATGTGGCGTTACCCAAGTACTTAAGACTCTCTCACCATCAGCCAGCCAGTTGCGGGGGGCGGGAGGGAGGAGGAATAAAGTATCATGTAGCAAATATCATCATGTCAAGAGATGCAGAGAATTTGATGTGCAGAGCTGGTATGACTGATACAATTCTATAACGTCTGTGCTATACAAACAATAGAGATTCTCCTGTGGAAGTCATTCAAACCCCATTTCCTGGGATGACCCAAAGTAGACAGACAGAAAAGCGGAACACAGAGCAGCGTTGGGCTTATTACATCAGCGTCAAACTGAGCTTGGACCTCAAGAGTTCCATTTCCTTCATTAATCTAGGACACGTCGTTTCCAAGTGGTTCAAAATTTGGCCAAACGACTGAATGGAACAACTGACATTACACCCCAAGTTCTCCTTGGCTTCTGTTTGAGCTTGGGATGCAAACAGTGCTTCCAAATCCACTGTTTGAAATGAGCAATAATTAGTCACAGGATTGTCCTCTCCTGGCTTTCACTGGACCCCAATCTTGGACCACATGAAGGCAGTGAATATGTCTTTAGTGCATGGATCTGCAGTCTGATTTTTCCACTGCCCTGCACCATGTGTCATCATTTACATCTGTACAAAGTGAGTGAGGTATAAAATGCTGGTCGTGCTTTACGCCCACTTTGGCACAGGTGTGTAGATGCTGACGTAAGGTGCAGGGCAGTGGGGGATCATGACCCTAGAGAGGAGACAACTAGATAAGGGCAAATGCAGTGAACACAACTAATTCTAGCTTGCATTCATTATGGTAATTGTCAGGTTTAATAGCTTAATTATGTACTTGGAGATACTATAAAAGAGGGGCCTGATCTAGACAAAATAAACTCCGGGATGCAGAAGCTCAAACAAAGTAACAGGCCTTCATTTCTTGAAGTATCTTTAGTACAAAAGATGGGCCTATATCGTCCCTTACTGTAGCAAACATCAAACCACTATGGAAGACTGCGATGCAGAAACCGACCCCAGTCTCGCAGTAGGAAGCACATTTGGAATCATCTGGCTTATGAGGCGTAACTTCCTTTTTTGCTCTCCTTAGTTAAAATCCACACTCCGTTTTATCACTGAAGATCCAGCCCAGATCAAGGTTCTCATCCAAGTTCTAAAACCCTGAGAAGAGGAGTTTACAATGGGAGTAACACTTGTCCAGTGGTGCTATCCTAATGTTCATTAGAACTTTTTTTTCTGCAATAGGAGGCATGCAGTTAGCTTTGGCATGTTCACAGGGCCAGGT